TGTTTTCTGAATGAAACTTTGCTCTTTGTATGCTCCAATGAACTGCTCTTTTGCAGTGAAAAGCCCCAAGCAACAGTGTGGAAATAATTGTTCCTTTTTGGATCATGAAAGATTTTTTTAAATACATTTAGTGCTTGTAAAGTATAATCTATCATCCCATGAAACAAAATTCTTTTGTCTATACAAATAGTAAATGAAAAGCCAGTGCAAGGTTTTAAACACTGTCCATTTAATGTGCCCCGATGCTCATGTGCATAGATGACCTCTCATCACGACATACTGTAACATTCAAATGAGTATTTGGTTATTCTGTTGGGACTCAAATGTGGGGTTAAAATTATTTCCAGTTCCTGTGGCTCTTTCATTATGAGGGCAGTTTCTGCTAGCATCTTGACTATAACAATAATGTATTTTCTGATTGATCTGGCCTTTTTTTGTACAGTTAATTGAAACTGTCTTCATTTTCGTGGTGTATGCATGTTAACAAGAGGGAGGAAAGGACATAAAGGTGAAAGGAAAACACTGGACAAATGTATCCTGTAAATAAAGGGCCTAAAGAAATCTTCAGCACAGGGCAGACACACATTGTTGACTTACCAACACACACAAAAAAGAGTAACAGAATCTGATTTTAAATCTTACGAGGGAGCTGCTCTCTGCTCACTACAGTCGTGAACTTTCTCTCTCTGTTTTTGCTGCCAGAGAGCCTGATGAAGTCATTCTCTCTTGCGGTGGGATTTGCAAACTAGATAGTTAAGTGATACTATGTGAAGTAGAGCAGGCTGGAAAACAACGTTTCCTATTCATGACAGCTTTTAAGGCCTTGAAAGTTGTTTTCATCCTGCAGTGGGATAGAAACAAAACCTCTTATGTTTTTATGGAACAGAATTGTGTCAAAAGTCAGGATTGGATTTAAAAAAAACCAACAACAACAAAAGCAGTGACCTGTGAACCCATCATGGATATGAGATGCCTCGTTGAAAACTTAAGTCAAAAGCAGATAAGTCCCCTGAATTGCACTGGGAGAGAACACCCTTTTAAAAACATTTCATTTTTAAGAGTACTGAAATTCACTTGAGGATTGTGTGTGTCTGGGGGGGAGGTGCAGTAGCCCCTAGAGGAATCCCTGGTGCAGGGCACAGCATATGCTTAGTATATGTGGTTCTACTGTGCCTCTCTTCATACCTCCCAACATAGGCAAACTGGAACCAGGCATATCAGTGACTGGACCTGATTCACATTATAAAGAATCTGCCACAAGTTAGAACAGCCTCTGAAACAGTTGTAACGTAAACCATGGCTACACTGGTGCCTGGAAGAGTCCCTTAAAGCTATTTTGTTCCCAATCAGTTATAATATTGGTATTCCTGTGATACAATTCACAGAGCTCTGTATTCTTCATTTTGGCTCTTTTTAAATAGAAGTGTCAGTGAGACTGTTTGTGGATTAGTATTGATTACCACGAGCAAAGCTATCAAAATTCTGTCTAATGTTAATATACCACTAATACATCCTGAGAAGTTGTAACCAAGATGATCTAAGAGAAGAGATTTATGAGAAGGTGCACAAATTTACAGACAGTGGACAGTGTGGCTGTGTCTACATTGGCGCGATCTTGTGCCAAAGCAGCTGCTTTTGTGCAAAAACATGCTGCATGTCTACACTGGCGGGGAGTTCCTGCGCAAGAACACTGACATTCTAATGTGTGAAATCAGGGCTTCTTGCGCAAGAACTATGATGCTCCCGCTCAGGAATAAGCCCTCTTGCGCAACTGTTCTTGCGCAAGAGGCCAGTGTAGACAGGCAACATGAATTTCTTGTGCAAGAAAGCCTGATGGCTAAAATGGCCATTGGAGCTTTCTTGCGCAAGAGAGCATCTACACTGGCACGGATGCTCTTGCGCAAAAGCACATCTCTTGTGCAAAGGCATATGCCAGTGTAGACGCTCTCTTGCGCAAATACTTTTAACTGAAAATTTTTTCCATTAAAAGTATTTGCGCAAATTCATGCCAGTCTAGACGCAGCCCTGCAGTATAGACATAGTCTCTGTGTGTGCCAAGAAGAAAGGATGGCTCCAAAGCAATGAGAAAAAGTGCCGAATTATCCTCAGAAGTGGTACTTACAATTTGGCATGGAAAACAATTGAAGAACATTTTTTAAAAAATGGAAAAAAGTTTTAATATGTCAGGATGTAGATGGAAAAAGTCTGGTTGTTATAGCAGTATAAATGTCAGCAGTTAGCAAAGCAAACAGGACATTGTGCTAAATCACTGGAATAACATCAGACCAGAATGCCACTAAATGTCTGATATAGTGAGCACAGTTTTAGATGCCTTATTATAAGCACTATAATAGAAACATTTCAAAAGTCCAGACAAGAATAACTAGTGATAAAGAGATAATAGCAAAGTGAAGAGCATTGTTATCCACAAGGGAATCAGAAAGGAGACATATGAGAGAGGTACATGTACCAGTAATTTAGAGCAGAATAGAGAGAGCCACAGGCCAAACCAAGGTACCTCTTTTGTGAGATTAAGCACCTTTTGTAAAAAGGATTTACCAACACTAATCCCATTTCTGCCTGTATAAGTGTGCGTTTGACTAGGTTCAGTAGGACAAAATGTTGGACTGAAATGGAATGAAATTTTCCCCTTTTTTTGTTTCTGTGCTAAAACAGTTTACATCTGTGTCCAAAGTGCTGGTGATTGGTGGCAGTATGCAGCAATCTCTAGCAGAAACAGGGTTCTGTGCAGTATGGATTGAAATGTGGTTACAGCATTATGTAAAGTTCTGCTACCAACTTCAGACTTGATGTGTTCATCTCTTCACACTAACACAGGTGTTTCACTTTCTCACTTTGATACAACCACATCTTTTTGGAATGGAGGTAACACTGGGAGTTTTAAAGGAAGTGCTTTCACAGGATTTTTCAGGGTTCTAGCTTGTAGCTTAAATTATTTTGAAATGTTTTTGAAGGTGTGTGCTGGTTCCTTTCTGAAACTGCTTTGCAGTTGCTGTCAAAAATGTATGAAAGCGCCAGCTTTTCAGATTTGAGCTGTTGCTTTTTTGTTTTTGTTTTGTTTCCTATTGCCCTTACTCAAGCATTATATTCCAGTGTAGGCATGGTTGTGTTCCATTCTTGGTAGGTTATCATTTCTGTTCTATTTGGGCAAAGGAACACAGAGATGAATATTTTCCATTCTATTTCTTTCTTTCCTAATGAAGGTATTACCAGATTAGAGGTTTTAGAGCCAAATCACTTAGCGTTCATGAAAGAAGTTTAAGAGCATTTTGCTATGTAATCTACAGAAAAGGAAATCTATCAGAGAAACAAATATGTGCTTTCTGAAAACTCTGTCTATGCATATAGTTTTGTCAGTAGTAGTAAAATGTTTTCAGTCTTCTGGTAACTTTACAATTTGCAGCTGCCTGACTCCACTGAATGCATGCTACCATAGAAATAACATTCTACTCTGAGGATGGTGACTTTTAGAAAATGCGGAGCACATGCCTTCTGAAAACTGCGCCCTATTAAGATGTCTCCATTCAGAAACCAAAAATCACTATAATTTTTTAAAAATTAGGCTCTGTTGGTGGCCTCTTTCCCAGTTTCCCACCGGGACTATTGTCCTAGAGCTGAGCTAGCCCATCATAAGTACTTATGTGCTCCCTATTGCGATAGTATGTGAATTCTTTAAAATCTTTAACGTGTTTACCCTCACAACGCTCCTATGAATAGGGCCCTACAAAATTCGTGGTCCATTTTGGTGAATTTCATGGTTGTGGTAATTTAAAAATAGTGAGTTTTACACTTTCAGATATTTACATTTGAAGTTTCACAGAGTTGTAACCCTGGGGGTCCCAACCTAAAATGGAGTTGTGGGAGGTTGTAAAGCCATTGTAATATAGCCTTTGGATTGCCACCCTCTGCACTGCTTTCAGAGCTGGGCTCTGAAGGCAGCAGCCATGGAGCTTCCTGCAGCTGGGGAGGTATCCGGAGATGGGGCTTCCCCCCCACCCCGCCTTAGAGTAGCCATGCAGGTGAAAAGGAAGTCCTGTCCCTCACCAGATCCACTGGAACTTGCAGCTGAGCCCAGTACACAGTAGAAGCCCTTGTCTGGGGCACCCCCAGCTCAGTTTCTCTCCCTTTCCTACTATATCTAGATTTCATGGGGGAAGAGCTGATTTTTGCAGTCCAGGATGTGTTTTTCACAGCCTTGGATTTGGTAACACCCTACTTGTGAGAGATGGAAGTGCTAGAATTCTCATTTTACAGATGGAAAATGGAGTCAGAGGCTATTTGACCTGCCCAAGGTCACATAGGAAGTCAAAGAAGGGACTTGAACCCTCTTCTCCCATGTCCTAATTAACATCCTAACTATTGGACACAGCCTTCATTCTCTCCTTTTCAATATACAGTAGACTTCCGATAATCCAGCACCCTTGGGACTCAGGGGGTGCCGGATTATCGGATATGCCGGAGTATCGGGAGGTACTCCAGTGGGGTGCTGTGACAGATCTGCCGGAACCGCACTGCGTGGGGGGGGTCGTCGGGGAACAGCGCAGGGAGGGGCGAACCTTCCGCAGTGTTGCGGGGAGGCAGTGGAAGCCCCATGCAGCCAGCTTGCAACTGGGGAAACTTGTAAGCTGCGGCGGCGGAGAGGGGGTGAGAGGCAGGCAGCTGTTTAAGGCGGGCGGGGGTGGAGGGGTTGGCGGGGAAAGCCGCCTGCCTCTCCCCCCCTCTCCGCCGCCGCAGCTTACAAGTTTCCCCACTTGCAAGCCGGCTGTGCGGGGCTTCCACCGCCTCCCCGCAACATGGCGGAGGGTTCGCCCCCTCTCCGTGCCGTTCCCTGCCGACCGACTCACCACCTCCCCTCCGCTCCCCTCCCCTCCCCTCCTCCAGCCGGCCTGCCTTCCTTCCTTAAACAGCTGCCTGCCTCTCGCCCCCTCTGGGCAGCTCCAATTGTCTGGCTGGCCGGAGCACTTCCGGGTTCCACTTGGTGCTGGACTATCACGAGTGCCGGACCACTGGATGCCAGACAGTTGGAGTTTTACTGTACATGGTATTGGAGATTCCCATTCTTAGAGATTTGGACACAACAGTCTCAAAATAAGTGCTAGTTAATTCCAAAGGAGCGTGTGTTATGCTAAAGTGAAAATAGGAAGAAAATAATATGCTCATTAATAAAGGAAAAACCAATGAAAGTGGAATTATATGTTGCTTTTTATTTTTCCACATTACTTAAAACAAGAAGTTTAATAGCATTGTATTTTTTACAACAAAATATTTTCATGTATTCGTTTCCTGTCCGTTATTGAAAACTTCATACAAGTCACTAAGGCCCAGATTAAAGTATTTAGGGACCTAACTCCTATTGATTTCAGTGAAAACAGCTGATTTCTGTGGGTGAGTTAGGCACTCAAATACCTTTGAGGATTTTGGCCTAAATGTCAGCACCTAAATGTTCATAATACTGTTGTTTCTAACTCAGTTTCCTTTGAACCCTTGGTTAGTGATTTAACATTCTTTGTTTTTGTCAGTGCAAATCCAACAAATGATTTTTAAAGAGAAAAAGTAATAAAATAAAACAAAACATTTACAGTCCAATGGAAGCAAGGCTATAATTGTAATACAAAATGTACAGAGTTATTAGTTTATCCACTTTTAAGATAATACAAAAACTTTATTCTTTTTATAATTAATTCGTCTTTGCATATGGTGGTGCTTTATGCAACAGAGTATCAGAAATTGAGATGTATTAACAAAACTAGATAACCATGTTTCACTGTTTGATCCATATTTGATTTTTTTAAATGTGTAATTATTATTTTCCAAATGATGAATAGACCTGACTTTAGTTTCACCTGAATACATTTTTGTAAACTTTTAAAAAATATGGACAATTCTAACCAGTCACCATTTGAACCAGAAATTCATGCTTTGATGTAAATTACCAAAGAGAAATATATAAAAATGCTAGTAACTACATTTTCCCCAAAACATATTTTAATGTAAGTAAATCCTTGACACTGATATTTTATGCAAAGATATACTTTTACCATAATTGTTGTATTTCTCATTCTAGTATTAGGAGAAGTGTATGAAATTAAATTATTTTATTGCAGTGTTTATAACATTGTGGTTTTTTCCCCCCTCCATTCTTTAAAAAAACAACCCCCAAAACACAACACAGTCTGCAGGGCTAAATCCTCAAGTGGTGTAAATCAGGATGGCTTCATTGACTTGAGTGAAGCTATGCTGATGTACAGCAGAAAAGGGTCTGCACAACAGCGTTTAGCCACACGATTTCCAAAGCACTTTGACCGAGCATGTTAGGATAACTGTTTTTAAGTCAGCCAGCATATCTATTACTCTATGCTGGTAACAGGAATTTGATTTTTGATATTATTTATCAAAAGCAGTAACAACATGGCGTCTTAAAATAAAAATGTTCGATCAGATATTTAATAATCTAACACTCATAAGTAGATCAGTGTCAAGTGAAAACTGTCTTAGGGTTTACAATAAATTAAAATATTCTTTGGATTTCAAATTAATACAGTCTGTAGGGGAAAACAGTTTTCGACATGTGGGCTTGGAGAGTGCATTTTAAAGTACTGTAATTGTAAAATCTGAAATGTATTAAATAAATTACACAGTGACTTATGTAAAATTATAAATTGGTAAGTAATCACCCTGGATCCTAGCCATTGGCGTACTGGCAGATCATATGTAGTGCATTGCAGGTATTCATTCATTGTGGAAGCAACTTAACATATGCTGCACATAACTTCACACTGGCACTTGTTAATAGACTGATGGTAAATCAGTCCACAGAACTCCTTGGAAAACATGAAAAAAATGAAGCTGTAGTACAATAAAACAATAAAGTGCTTTAAATGAGAATCTGTGGTTTACTGCATTGTTTCTTAGTTAACGGTAGATACTAAAACCAACAAAATGAAAATTGATCATTCCCTAGGATAAGTAAAACTGAACCCGTTACTTACTGCTAGCCAGTACTTCCATGCGAGTTCAGAAAAAATTGATTTCAAATTCTTTTCTTGTCTTGATGTTAAAATGCAATTCTCTGGGATTAAGGGAGTGGTTTATAGTGCAGGTTGAATTTGCACAGACAGAGGCCCAAATTTGGACTTAAAAGGAAGGAAGCAAAAAGACAGCAATCTGGAAACAGTTCCTATCCAGTGTGTATAACCAAGTGGTTTGAAATACACTACTCTTTAGCTTGAAACAGAATGGGAATGTAAAGAAATCTGAGAGATTTTTCCAAGTCCTTTTGATTGATTACTGCTATAATATGGTTGCTTCTTCCATGGCTTTAATCCACCTGAAAAAAAAGTAGAGGAGACAGATTTTATTTCATGGATCAAGCCAGTACATATATTAAAAATCACAGGGCTCAGAAGGCTATACTGCATACAATAGCCTTGTCTAAAGAGGAAGTTTGGACTGGGGATTAGAACAGGGTCCTGAAAGCTAAAACTCCTAGATTCCATTGTCAGCTTTGCCACTGACCTACTTGGTCAGTGTAATCTTGGGAAAATTACATGAGAGAGAGAGAAGTCATAGAAGTAGGAGGGAGAGGGAAAACAAATTTCCATAACCATACGCTCTCCTGCGTGCTGTGATGTAGCAGGGCCAGAAGGCAGTAGGAGAGTGATAAGTGGGAAGTATATAAACCTAGGGTAGATCAGAGTTTTATGCCCTGTGGGCTCAGGAGATTACTACAGGTTAATTAAAACACCTAGAGCCAATTAAGCTCCTGCTAGGGGTCTAATAAAAACACCCTGAGACAGGAAACTGTGCTTGAGCAGGGGCATTCCCCAGACACAGAGTACTGAGAGAAACCTTGTCCAAGGGGAAAGGTGCTAGCCCAAGGGAAAGAATCCTGGCTCCAAATGCTTAGCCACTATCCATAGGACCCCTGGCCTGGGAGCTATGGTAGAAGGTGGGCCTGAGTCCCTTCCCCGCTTCCTTTCCCCACATAGGCATTAGTGGAGGCATCAACACCACAAAATCCCTTCATCCCTAGAGGTTTTTAAGTCCTGGCTTGACAAAGCCGTGGCTGGAATGATTTAGTTAGGGTTGGTCCTGCTTTGGACAGGGGGCTGGACTTGATGACCTCCTGAAATCTCTTCCAGCCCTAGGGTTCTATGATTCTAAATAGGGGCAAGAGGCAGTGCCCTGACCCATCACATGAAAGAAAAGCACAGGAGCCACCATAATAGCATTGGCCATTTGCCACATGCATATTTTAAAGCATCATTTTATCATTACTTTCATGATTTTATCATGCAGTACTAGTAACAAACATCTAAAGTATAGAAAATGTTCATTTAAAAATTAAATTGTCAAACAGTGGATTTTATGGCTTAGTTGCACCTATACAAAGAAGCAAAAATTCCCATCTTGTCAAGATGGAGTAATTTCTACCTGATGTTTAATACCATCCAGACAATTGTATTATAATTGACTAACTAGCATTTCCATAGTTTCTCTTTTTCTGTAGCAGTTGCATTCAAAATGAAAGGAAATGGGAAGATATATGTTAGAGGAGTCAATAGTGCTGCTTACGCTTTCTAGTCATTCAAGAGTTAGTATGTAATTGCAATTCCACGTGCAGTACCTCTGTGCTGAATTGTTATCCTCCGCACGGAAGCTATAAAACAAGGTTTGCTTGTGGTAAAGATGGAAAACTGCATCCATACTTCCTTCCTCCTTTTCTGGGGTAACTGTGAAACCCAGCAAAGGCAGACTCTCTGTGGCGACTTTATCCTAAAATCAATGTGGGGGGAGGGGACACACTTTAGAAGGAGCACTTCCAAATGGGCTGCAGTTTGTGGGGCAAAGGCTGTCTGTCCAATAGCTATAGTGTCTGACTCCCTCTTCTTGATAGGGCTTCAACAAGTTTCTGAAATTATAGTATAAAAATGAATAATCTGGTGCTGAGATGAAAATCCTGGAGAAGTATGCTGTCTAGTGAGTAGGTGCAGCCTTGCTAGCAGCAGTTCAAATGTTCCTTTTGTGTTGCTCTGCCAAGATCCTTAACTCAACCACCACTGGGATGGAATTCTCCGTATCCATTCAGCCCTGTTTAGACTACTGATGAGATTCCAATACAGGACTAGTCGTGAATGTGTTTTGTGAGGCTCATATGTAATTCACCAATCTACAGGCCACTGAGAAGATCTGATGGGAACAGTATCTGGTTACTGTTATCTTTTGGCTAGGTTTGTACTAAGGGTATAGAGATGAAAGATCCTGTATTTTATTATCTAAGCCATAATTACTGAGTGCCACCTATGTTTGGTAGCAAATGACCCCCACACAACCACAGGAGTTTTTTTTTAACAGCTTCATCTTCACTATATCACATAGCATGCTCACTTCTAATGACACCTCTTTACAATTTATGAGCTGGTAATGCGATTCACTGTTAATTTATTCCCAATAATTTCACTTGGCAGAGAATTCACTGTACGAATGGAATAAAAACAAAAAAGTAAAACAATAAGCCTTAATTGAATTGCAGTTAAACTGTTACTGGTGGCAGCAATTTTGGTCCTTATACCTCTATTAAAGTAATGTTGGGGTTTTGTTTTTGGTCTGTTCAGCTTCCGAAGGGTAGCCAACTTAATCTGTAGCTGGAAAAATTTAAACAACGCTCATGATACCATCTACATGTTTTGTTAGTCTCTAAGGTGCTGCAAAACTATTGATTGTTAAAAAATTTAAGTTTGTCTCTTTAGTTATTGCTGTTTAAGATATAGGCAAGGCTTGGAGCATATAATGCAGTTAGGTAGCCACTGTTTTTCATATCTCATAAAGGGTTATCACTAACACTGGTGCAACCCTTTAAGATTAGTGGAATTCTCCACCCTGTGAAGGGCATGCCTTACTGTACAGGGCCCGATTTTCTGATATGCTAAGCATAGACAATTCCCACTGAAGTCAGTAGGAGCTACAGGTTGCCTGCACGTCTGAAAAATCAGGCTCAAGATATTTTAATCTAACTATAGAGGAAATCTAGGCTAACAGATAAAACAGAGGCCTGGGTGTCAACATTTCCTTAGTACTAGTCCTTGATCTGCCCTGACTTGTTTTGTGACTGTGGTCAAATCATGCAACCTCTTCATGCCTCAGCATCATCTATTTAGAG